AATGACTTCAAAATTTTATTTGCCGCTGAACGACTTCTCCTCTTCTCTCCTAATTAAAATGATTAGTATAATGATTTATTAATCATTTGAATGACAAAATCATGACTAAATAATGAGAGAAAAATGTTGATAATTACACAATGATGTTAAAACTAATTGTGAAATAAGTATAAGATGTATATTAATTAAAAATAAAAAGTAATAAATATCTTATTGTAAAAATAATAAATAAAGTTTAAGTTTATAAAAAAAATTTATTTACCTTACTGATAGTGACTTCCAGTATGACATCTTGGTCTTCTTCTCATACGTTGTGGCCGTTGTTGTTGTATGTCAATTTCTTAAGCTTCAAGTGTCTCATTTGTTTGTGTAGTTGGCATGTTTAAATCAAACCAAGGTGATTCATTTAAATGTATAGATTATGAAGGAGTGACAAATGCTTTATTTGATGGTTCATCATGTTCAAAAGTAGAAGCATTGTATTCAGCTGAAAGAATACGAATATTCCAGATTATTGAACCCATCACTCACCTGAAAATTAGAATAATGAAATATCAACTCATCAAGGGTAGTGTGGATGAAAAATCAAATTGTATATCACAACTATAAATTTTTTAAAAGAAAAAATAGAAGAGAAACAACATACCCACAATAGCAGTAAAAGAGCTTTTCTTGTTTAGAAGCAAGAGTAAAAAAATAACAGTGCAACAGAATAATGAGAGTGAAATAAGTGAGAAGAAGAAGAACAAGAGAGAACTCGGATTTGAAGAGAGCATAACATGAAGTAATTCATATGTAATATACATAAAGCCATAGATGCTGTAACCTCACAGGAGCAATGAGATTCTCGCATGCATTATCAAGGATTCTTCTTGCACGGATAATTAGTCTTGCACACATTGGGCAGAGATTCTCTCACATGGTAGTGAAGAGAAAAAAGTGAAATCGTTCTTGGCGTGAACAATTTCAAAAATCGTTCACGCTGAAATCGTTCACGCCAATAACGATTTCACTTTTTGATTTAAAAAAAATTAAAAAGTAAAATCGTTCATATCAAGAACAATTTCTGAAATCGTTCATGCTAAGAACAACTTGTATGTAATTTGAAAATCGTTACCAAGAATGATTTTAAGTACAGCATGTTGGTAAATACTTTTAAAAGTACAGCATATTGGTATATAGTTTTACTGTTTATCGTGTTTTGGTAAAAAAAGCCCCACAATTCCCTTCAACAATAAAGTTCATATCATAAAATCAAAGAATTAAAACCAGTCTAGAAGCAAGATGACTCAGCAACCCATCCTCTCAGAAGAATGAACCGAAACAATTATCAAGTCAAAAAAGAATCAAATAAATATGTCTGCTTTTTCATTTTTCCCCTCTGTGAATTGGGCATAACATCAGCTTACCAAAAACAATCTCAGAAGATGGAAAGGGGAGCAAGTTCTAAAGGGAAGAGGCACTAGTAAAAATGTCAGACCAACAATTCACCAAGACGATAACAAATTTCAGCAAATGAGGATCAATAGCCTTAAAGATGTCCTTCTTAATACAAAATAGGGACTCAGACAAAGAAACGCCCTTTGAGGAACTTCCATTTCTAAACCCTTTGGAAAGAGCCCAAGGTCCAAATTAGATTATGACTAGAGGAGGAGAGGGCGATGGTAGCTACAAGAACAAGTGGCAGCGACAGCAGCTACAAGAACATGTGATGGCGACGACAGCTGCAACACCTGGTGGCGATGATTGGAGGAGGTGGAGCAAACAGGAAGGATGACTGGAGAAATGAAGGGGAAAACGGGGTTTTAACTGAGGATGGTACCATTGGAATGCTTAAAAAGTGTTACAAGTAATTTTGTCCAGATAGGATGATAATTTCTTTCTCTGCAAAAAAATAAGAAATTACTTTCATTGGATGAATCTAACCACCGCTTTTGACCAAAAAAAAAAAAAAGAATCTAACCACCGCTTTGTAAAGATATTATGATCTCCAATAGAAGTCATTTTTTATTTTTTAAATAAAACATTTAACGAGTTAATTTTACAAATATTTTGTAAATACCTTCTAATCACACTTATAATACGAGAGTACTTATAGAGGAGCGAAGCATCTCCTTTCCTTTTTCCTCCCTCACTCTTATTTGATCCTGAAAACTCAACAAAAAAAAATTAAAATTATTAAATCTAAACCGACTGTGAGGATGAGAAGAAAATGAAGGCAATTGTGTCTGTTAGTAATACAATGCCTTTTTTCTTTAGATGAAAAACGTGATGTTTTAGTTTGATATTCGTGTAGAATTATCGTGCAAAACTTTCCTAAATCACACACATATGATTCACTGGCCTTTAAAAATTAACAAGAAACTTCGTTAAACACTGGTTTTATATAGATTAGAACTCCTAGGTAAAAGTTGGCAAAAAAAAAAAAAAACCCATGCCTTGAACTGTTCTATCGACTCGTTAACTCAGGAAAAAAAGAGACATTAACTCATGCGCATGATTTTTTTTTTTTGGTGAAATAAACGTTTCAAGGTTCTATTTGAAAAAATTACTTATAAGTATGTTTTATATAAATTGAGATAAAAAATTTTACATACTTGTTCATTATTTTGTAAATAAATTACTATTAGACAACTAATTATAAATGTAAACAAACCGCCGTGTTACATTTATTTCTGTGAAATCATAAACAAGTTAACAGCAGATGAGTTATTTATAGACACACAAAATGTTAGAACGGAGAGATGAGGAGAAAAAGTTAGAAACGAGAATTGTCGAAGTTTCAACTTTCAAATGCCCATTTGGCCAAAAAAACAAAAAAACAACAACTTTCCAATGCCCAAGATAGCGTCACGTCTTGAGGAAACTTATATTTGGGAGTCTTTGGTAAATAACCACTTTTAAAAAATGTTTTTAAGTAAATCGAGGGTAATTTTATCACACATTTATTTTACATATTATAAATTATTTTTTAAATTAAAATTATGTTTGGTTTCCTCAAACACCCTCTTAATATAAAAATCAAGTAATTAATTATAAATTTATAAATATTAAAAAAATTAGTTAAGTTAGTTATTTATAATAAATGAATATTACCTTCTAAAATATCCTTTATAAGTACAACTTTCTTACTATGTGCAATTAATAGAATATTTGAAAAAAAAATTATAAATTTAAGAGATAAAGTGGATTAAAATATATATTTAGAGTTCCAAGAAATATAATTTATTGGCTAAAAAATATTATATATGATTTAGCTTAAATTTCATAACAAAATGTGGCCCTTTTCTATTTGTTTTTTTCCTTGGGTATACTCTTATGGGAGGTAATCATGTTCGAGATATTGTCAAATGCTAAATATGTATGCCTGTCTCAATAAATATTCAAACATAGTTCGTTAAAATGTAAGGGACCAACCTGTCAGTAATTCTAGTACTTTTTCAGTTTTGCTGATCGTAAATACTACTTCTGGTCCTTAATATAAAAATTCACTTGATTTTTATTTTAGTCTAAATATAAGACTCAAATCCACTCTATCTATCATATTTATCTATTTTTTTCTAAGTTAGTCCATGTAATAATAGTATTTCTAATTCAAATGCTAAATATGTATGCCTGTCTCAATAAATATTCAAACATAGTTCGTTAAAATGTAAGGGACCAACCTGTCAGTAATTCTAGTACTTTTCCAGTTTTGCTGATCGTAAATACTACTTCTGGTCCTTAATATAAAAACTCACTTGATTTTTATTTTAGTTCTAAATATAAGACTCAAATCCACTCTATCTATCATATTTATCTATTTTTTTCTAAGTTAGTCCATGTAATAATAGTATTTCTAATTAATATACTTGATTAATAAGGATATTTTAGAAAAGACAACACCTATTTATTATAAATAAGTAATTTAACTAATTTTCTTAATTTACTCAAACTAGTTAACTAGCTTTTATATCAATGATTGGAGGTAGTAATTTATAACAACTTGGCATATAAGAAAGTTGGGCTAACTTTCAAGAAAAATTATAGAAAAAGCATCACAAAATTATTATCTTCCAATTCAGGTGTCTAAGAGTTGAAAATGATAGAGAAGGAGGCGGTGCTTAATCTGGTATTTTGTAGATGTAGTTAAATGATTAAAATACCTTTGTATCATATTTGAAAATAAAGTTATCAAATTTATCATTATCAGTATATTTTTTGTCATTGGCTATTTAACACTTGTTATTGTCAGTTTATAACTTGTTAATAATAATTTGTTACCGCTAATACATTTATTATTATTTGTCATTCAATATTTATCATTGCTAATTCAGAACTTATTAATAAATTTTTTGATCATTTTAATCATTTAATTGTATTTACAAAATATTAGATTAAACACCACTTTATTTTCTATTATTTTTAACTCTCAAATGCATAAATTAAGATATTACATTTTTTATTTATTTTTGTCCAACCCAGCTGGCCAATGTCTGACCTTACGGTTGGAGGGGGAAAAATCCCATACAACTTTACACTGACGACAGAAATTAGAACTCAAAAACATCAATTCGGAACCCTTCCTCTTTCTTTCTCATCTTCTTCCCTTTTTTTTTTTTTCAACTATTAGATTAACATATTTCAGTGGTTTAGATTTCAATTTTTTATACACTATTTATTAAAAAAAATTTAAAAACATTTAATGCATTGTAAACTATCAGAATTAAATTTTAATATAATTCGTAATTTTTATTTATTTTTATAATTTAATATTTTAATAATAGTTAAAAAAAGAATATAAATGTAAACCATTAAAATCATAACCTAATGATTTTTTTAAAAAAACGGGAGAAGAAAAAAAAGATGAAAAAGGGAAGACAAGAGGTTCAACCGGCAAAAACAAACACTTGCCCTTAAAAAACAAAAAGGTACAAGTGGCAATGGTTTTTTCGTTGGATCATACAAATGGTCAAGAATATTTGACTGTACAGTCTATTGTCAAGAAGTGAGTCTAGCCAATCTACATCCCAAAATAACACGTATCAATCCTCTAATTCTCTGCCTGCAGAGTTCGCGCTGCGAGGAAACCATAGAGGCCCTGCACCCATTTCAGAGGGAGTGAAGGGGTTTCGAAGATGACAACGATCCGCAGGTTTTGCTGTAACGATCTCCTCCGCTTTGCTTCCGTTAATCTCGACCATCTCACTGAAACTGTAAGCCTTTCTTCCCAATTTTATTTTATGGTCATGTCTGTCCAAACAAACAAGCCTTAGCATTTTATCGCTGATTCTTGTTCATTTATTTATTCTCAATTGCCCTGTTTCAGTTTAACATGTCCTTCTACATGACCTACCTAGCAAGATGGCCGGACTATTTCCATATTTCCATGTTGCCGAAGGTCCTGGCAACCAAATCATGGGTTACAGTAAGTTATTTATTTTTCCTATGTATAAATCCTCCTGACTCGTGATTTTTTTACCTAAATTTTATAATCATTGGGAAGTTACCTGGGCGGTGTTGAATATCGGTTGTTCAGTGGAGTAATGAACGATCTTTCAGCTAGGAAGCTAGGTTATGGTAGTTGTTCTTGTTTTAATTTTGCCGAAATAGATGTCATTTAGAATGGTTTAAAAGTAAAATTATGATTCTGTTTTAGGGAAATCAAACATCAGATCTTCTCTTCCTGGCGAAACTATATGGGGACTGCCCATCATAAAGTTTCCCTCTTTTATCTGGTTAAATGTGAAATAGTGTACATTTGCCTCTGAATTAGCTTGACTATAAAATTTTCTGCCATTTCTTTATACATAATACATGCAATAGGTTGCAAAAGATGCAAGTAATCAGTGTGTGCCAAACAAATTAGTTCGCCTTGGGCATTAATAAGTGAATGGGTTAGAAAATTCTTTCCTCAATAGTTCATTAGCTTTTAGGAATTATCATATAATTTATAATATGGATTTAGGAATCACATGATATGCTTTGTATTGATAAGCTAATTTCGGTGGATGACACAGTGGCCGAACGCACTGTGAAAATGATGACAGCTTAGAATTGTAGTTAGAACTTAGAAGCACAGGGATTCTTTAAGGTGCTAGACCTATAAGGTCTTTGCCCTAGTTGAGAGGTGCTAGACCTATAAGGTCTTTGCCTTAGGTGAGATGCATCGACCATGTGAAGCAAGATGCGGTAACAAATGTATTAGAATTACAGCATGGTTGTGGTCCTCTTGTACCCATCTATTTCCATTTTTTATGGATCATGTACATTGTAATAGAGAGGAAGTCCATGGCTGTTTTGTGTTTTCATGTTTGTTTTCAAAACCCTATAAAACTTGCTAAAGATTAAATGACCTTTTAAAATAAGATTGTTGATTTATACCATTCTCTTAGATCTTTCTCTAATGCTGGGCTAGTTTTCTAAGGTTGGCCTTTGTAGTTTCCTATTTTATCCTATATCGTTATATTTTTGGGCATAACTTATAAGTTAACCCATATCTTGTTGCTTCCAAACATAGTGGCACTTAGGCCAAGGTTATCAAATTAGGATATGAATTGTGAATTGGAAAGTCTATTTTCTGAATCTTGAATCAAAATATATTGTGAATCGTAAGATTCATGAACAATTATTAAGGATGATATATAAGTAATTTCATATAAGAGAATATCAAAAGTTTGTAGATATTAGGTTGTGTACTCCTCTCAAAAAATCAAAAAAGCTAATACATATCAAATTTCAATGACAAATTAATCTCCAAAATTAATTAGATAATTAAAAATTAGGGTTTTGATTGATATTTGGTAAGCCCGAAAGTGATAAGTGCATTAGGGAGTACTTATACACCAGATTATTACCTCCTAAAAATAACAAAAAATCAGAAAAAATAAAAATAAAAGATTTTTTAGCATGCTGGGTCGTGTGTTCAGATCTAGTGCGACTCAACACTACTTGAATCACATGATTATAGTGTAAATTACATGATTTAGGCCATAGAAAGATACAATGGGAGATTTGAATCTCTCATTGTTTATTTTGTCTCGAAATCGCACAATTCGAATCGTGAATCATGAAATTCTAACTATAATGCTTAAGGCTAGCTTTCTGTGAAGACAAAAAAGTGCCCCAGCTGCTTGCTTTAAAGTACCTAATTGAAGGCTGCACTGCTCATGGTGCGTGTCTGTGGGAGGTGCTAGCTACTAAGGGCAACTCACCTCTATGCCTTTGACATTATTATTGCATAATTGGTAATTGACTTTATGTCTGCTGCAGACATTCAGATTAATGGATAATCTCATATAGTGGATCTAGTTCATAGTTATTTCCGTCTCATATAATGGATGCAGTTCACAGCTGTTATGTTAGCACACCTATGAGAAACGTATCTGGAACTTAAATTGCTTAACACATTTATCGTCACTGTAGTTATGGGGAAAGTGGAGGGGCAAGGAGAGTCCTGGCATGGTCATGTTACTGCAGTAACTGTTGCCCCTGAATATCGTCGACAGCAGTTAGCCAAGAAACTGATGAATCTACTGGAAGACATAAGTGACAAGATGTAAGACATGCCTTCATTTGATAACCATATCTTAGAATTCTGATACTTTCCTTTGGCATGTTTTCCATGATTTAAACAATTCTTTTCCCTGGTAGATCTGGATGCCTTGTCTCTCACCAGTATGACTATGCTTTTGTCTTAGCATCTTGAGAGTTTGGATTTATGGGAAAAAACGATTTAAAATTTCAATTTTTTGGGAAATTTTTTTAGAACTGTTACAAGTTGCTTTATCCTTGCACGAAGGGCTTGTTTTAAGTGAGAATGTGATATTTCCAGTGACAAGGCTTTCTTCGTGGATCTCTTTGTAAGAGCATCAAATGCGCCTGCTATAAAGATGTATGAAAAGGTGAGGGTTCTATACGTCACATGTCATCATAGGCTTTTTTGACACAAGACTACCATCTTTTAATCTTTTAAAAAGCATGCATAAATTTCATGGTACCCTCGTTTTACATTGTATCATTAGCCCACTCTAATTCTTCTTGCAATTTGGGAGATTACTCATACTACAAGGCCCCACTTGGTGTGATGGAGGAGTTTTTGATGGAGGTGGAAGTGGAAGTGGAAGTGGAAGAGGAAATGGGGATGGAAGTGGGTTTAAAACCATGTTTGGTATGTCCTTGGAAGTCTTACATGATTTTTAATTCAAATGCATATTTATAATATGAAATGATTAAGATATCCTTTGAAACAAAAAAAGAGCAATCAAATAAGAAGCACCAACACCAGTGACTGACCAAACCACCATTACAGACAACTAGAACCATGGACCAAAAATCCTGAAATCAGGAAATGAAAAATAAATTAACAACAATCTAGAATTAAACCTAAAGAATGTCAATTATCAGTTAGATCTTGAACCAATATACAGACCGTCGCTCTAAAGGGGGAGAAATTAGAGGCAGATTGGAACCCTCAATATTGTAGAGACAAAACCCCCCCAAAAATGGAATTGGAACTATGAAACCATTAGATTGCCATTGAAGATCGTCATTGAAGTAGAAATTGCAAAGCAAAAGAAAAGGATATCGAAGATTTGTTGAAGATCATCGTCAAAGATCAAAAGAAAATATCTCAATTAAGATCCATTGCTGCCTGCAATCGATGGTGGCAAGGCTGAGGGAGAAGGTGGTTGATGGTTGTTGCTCAAGAGGGAGACTGAGTCACTAGATCAGAACCGCTACTACCTTCAGTCAACAGTGGTAAGCCTAATGAAGATTCTGGACAAAGAGGAGGGTTAGTGAGCAGTTGATGAGAGGTGAAAGAAAGAAAGAAGGAGAAAGAGATGGTGGGAAGAGGGAAGATGCTAAGGTTGACGATTGAAGATCAAAAGTGTGCAGATGTTAGACTTTCATGGAAGTCAGGAGGCTTCTATTAGGTGAGTGATGGAACTCACTTCCACTGTTTTTGATGGAATCAGGTTCCATGGAGAAATGGCTGATAATGCATCAAACAGGCAAAATATTTGTTTCCACCCTCAATTCCACTTCCATCCTCCCCACTTCCCTCATGCCAAACAGGGCCTGGGTGATTTGTAAACTGAGATAGCTGAAATATTTCTTTTGGATTGGTCTAGCCCCTCTATGGTTTTGGTCACTCGAGATATGTTCATTTATTTTTAGATAGTTTGGGATTATTATCATATTTATATGTGCATGATCTACATTATTATAATTTTTTATGTAAATAATGTAAAGGACCAGCGTTAACTGTTTACTATGTTTTTTTCCTCTATCCTATTTAAAATCTCAGCTTGGCTATGTCATATATCGGCGAGTGCTCCGCTACTATTCCGGGGAAGAAGATGGATTAGGTGTGCTTCCATGTTCTTTCACTTCTGTATTTGCCCTATTTTAATGGGCTGCTTCTTATTTATCATCAATTTGTGCCTTGTTTTTAGATATGAGGAAGGCATTATCGCGTGATACTGAAAAGAAGTCTATCATCCCTCTTAAACGGCCGATCACTCCTGATGAATTAGAGTATGACTAAATCTGCTCTCTAAGGAACTATATTGCATGAGCCGCCTTTTCTCTTATTTTTATTTTACTGAAAACAAGTGTGTAGGTTTTCCATCTTGCATGTGCCTAACTGATCTGGATTTATAACCTATACTCTGTTAGAAACTTGAGGAAGTAACTGTGCTCTTTTGGAAGTTTTCCTTTATAGCCCGGACATGATAACAGCATTGATACATTATTATGCTTAGTACACATGCAAGAGGGAATGAGCAGAGGGAGAGGGAGAGGCAAAAAAAATTAATTTGATATGTTTGCTAGGCCTGCATGGGCTTCCTTAGTATAAAGGCTTTCCATTCTGAAGATTCCTTTGCAGTTTTGATGGGAAGGAAAATTTTTCAATGATTGGTGAAGTGTCCTGTCTGCTCTTGGCATGATAACTCCATGATGGTGCAATTTTTTTCTTAATGATAATTCCTGAAGTATTTTTCAAAACTAGAAAATTAAGCATACATATTTTATTACGTAGGTAGATGTCCTTTATTTTACTAAAATAACAAGTTTATTATTTTTTATGCTATCATGGTCATCTGTGCAGTCTTCTTTTTACATTCCTGCGTTGGTTTTTACCATATCAGAATCCCAACGAAAATTTATTTTCTTAATATCGTCTTCACATTATACCAAAAATAATATTGATGTTAAGATTCAATGTCATGAACATTTCAATCATTATTTTCACTCCTTCCTTAAAAAGCTTTTCATAGGGATTTGACCTTTGTTTTTACTTTGGGTTGGATCCTACGAGATTGTGAATTTGGAATGGATTTACAGTGTGTGGGAGGAGGCTAAAAAAGTGAAGGATTTTGCTATCGAGAGCTGCGTAACTTTTTTCTTTTGGTGAAAAAAGGTCGACTCTGGTTAATTGTTAGACCAGTTTCAGAGGTGCGTGTATGGGCCAAAGAAAAAGTTGAGGAAATCCAATTGGACCGATTGATCCTGGGACCGGTGAAAGAACCCATGTGAAAACTGAAAAGTGACTCGATTTTTCAGTCTTTATCAATCTGATAGGGGAAGGTGACTTCTTCGGACTGAATGACTCGCTTGCACCTTCTCTCATCTGTTTAGACGAAGAAAAGTTCTCCATTTCAAAAAGCATCGAAAGCACGATACCTTTTCGTGATTTCCTACTTTCGCCTTTTGCACCCACCCATAACGCACGACATGGTGTGTTGATGTGGTAGGCACTAGGCATAGCCACGTCGAAACTCGAAAGTTCAAGTCGTAAATTTGATAATTAGGGCTTGGAGCTTATTCAAGGTATCAAAATCGGGTCGTGAGTTTTACCTCGTTTGTAAACGCATGCTATTAGTATAGGTCCCATCAATTTAAGAGAAAGAGAGGAATCAAACTAGGTCCAAAGAGAATCACGTCCCTTTAATTTGAAAAAACGGGAGGGGGTAAAATACGATACAGGTGAACCGACAAGAAGTACTGGACAGGAGTAGTATTTCACGCTTGTTTCTTAAATAAACGATTGCGTGCGGGCTTTGTGAAATGGAAGGAACGTATGGTTTTGTAATTCAGAAGAAAGTAAGGGTAGAATCTAAAATTTATTGCCCCGAACTTTAAATGGTTAACCTCAACGAGAAAAGCTGTTAACTTTTTTTTTTTTTTTTCAAAATAAAAAACTCTCTTATTCCTTTCTTGGTTCCTACTCCATGTCTCGCCTGATTGCTTCCTACAATCCATCCACTTGGATATAAAGAGAGGTGGTCTGTGTAATACAAGATGAAAAACCGCGGAGGGAAGATTTGGTTTGAACACACATATAATAAGAGTGTCGGAGGTCTTGTGTTTTGGGCAGTTGAGCGAGTCCAAAATTTTGGAATGCGAAGGGGAAGGAAGGATGTGTTATGCCAAAGTCGAAAGCAAAGCATGCCCGATAATGGCAAAAGGAGGCTTCATGTTAATCTGTGGATAACAGGGGAAGAAGCAGCAAGGATGATTAGGAGAGGGGGTGGGTCCTGCACAACAGCAAAATGAGCTTGAAAGACGTTAATGGAGAAAGAAGGAAGGAAGCGGCACCCAGGAAATCACGTGAACATGTCCTCAACGGCAAAGCTTGGCGTTTCTCTTCTCTTCTGTGACTTAGTCTGAGGGCAAGTACAGTGCCTATAATCATTTCAGATCCGACCACTGCCCGGACCCCACCACCTCCTCAAGCTTCAGTGTCTCACAATTTGACACGCCACTCTACTTATGTTGATAGCTGCCCTGAGACCCGATAAGTTCGATTCCATCCTATCTAATCTAAACTTTTCTTTCTCCTTATAGAAAGACGTCAATATGCTGCTCAATTACTTTGCTGGCTGAGAGAAAAGAAGCGGAGGGGGGGCCATGAGAAGACTATTATGAAAGGATTTGAACCCATCATATCGACTCCCACGCTATCAAGCACCCAGTATTGCTTTTCTGTTTAACTCATCTCAAGTGTTGTTGGTTTTTATTCTGTCATCACTCATGTTTACGCGGCAATGTCTGCAACACAAATCATTCGGGTCTCTCTTTTACTGATTTATCGAATTTCTCAATCCTTATTTGGACTAATCCTAGGTATGGTGGGGATATAGTGTCGCTCTGGATATATGCATATGATTTGTTTTAAAAAAAAAAAAAGTAACAGAAGGTAAACTGTGAACGTAAAATATTAACTTTGCTGTCCTACATTTGGTTTGTGCTATTTTTTATAAAAATACATACACCTCTGAAGGTAAAAGAAATATTGGATGATTTTTTGTCTTAATTTGACATTTTAGGAAGATTTGGTAAAGCCCGCTTCATGATCAAGACCAACCCACCAACTTCTCAACGTGTTCATAGGGCAGCCTTGTCTCCCACTTCCACTTTTCCTGCCTTTACCGGGAAACCATTAGGTCAATAATCTCAAAATAGATCCCACAACAAACTGGGCATAGCCTCAATTACCACCTAATTTTCCACTGTCTCAATTTGTGCAAACCACGTTGTAAATCTCTTTCAAAAATATTGGTTTATGTTGGACAGTACCATTATAATGATATTTTCATAACAGTACTTTAAGTATTTAGGCCAGGAGTCCAAGTTAGGACCCATTACTGCCGCTCATACATGTACTAGTACGCCATGTTAAGTTTCCTTATGTCAGCTTGGTCATTCTAGAATCATTTTTTTTTTTTTTTCATTTTTCGCAGGTATCTGATAGATGAAGATGGATGGTTCAATAAACTCACCCATCAAGTAATCACGTTTTGTATTATATGCTGTGTTCTGATGTTGCTTGTACTTCTATTAAACATTTGGTGAGGCGGCAATTTCTCATATGACATGCTGGAAGTATAACTTCTCATTTAAAATTAATGTGCAAAACACTGCTTTAATTTATACAATTTGTTGTGGCTTCAATCATATATCCCCACCTCCGTTGTCCGAAAAACGGTTCATCCAGTCACAACCAATGGTCTTGTTTGTATTCACGCTAACTATGCACATTGAATGTAACGTTCATGGCAGGCGACAGACAAATGATTAAATGACTTTCTCAAAGAGAACTTTGGCAATGTGGAAGTTGATAGTTCTTTCATCGCAGAAAGCTTCGTAGTAAAAACTATTGGCTACTGTGAGGAAAGTGTTCTTGATATTGGAATCAATGTCACTAGAAGATTTTTGAAGCACCATTTGCACAAGTTCTTGCATCTTTGCCTCTGTTTCTGTGGTGCTGATGCTGTACTTCGTACTGCTACTTCCAGTCTCGTGGGCCTGAAGGGTTCGGAACCAAAGGAAAACTTCAGAAAATGAAAATGGGAAAAGAAAGTTCTTATTTTCCTTCTCTTTCCTGCATTTTCTTGGCAAGGTGGGATATAATTGAGTTCACCAAACTTTTGAAGACGGAAAGATGGACAGCTATACTAAAAGACGAAATATTATTTGAAAGATGACGCAGTACTTATGCTGAACACCTCATCCTTTGATTGACACAAGTGCTTTTATTGTGTTCACGAGGAAGGTTCAATTATGGGTTGGTGAAAGCTGAAGATAGTGCACTAATGGCAATTGCTGCAATCTCTTTACTTTAAAGATGCTGAGTTCACTTTACTAATAATTCAAATAGCAATGTGTGAGCAAGTAGAGTTAATAGGCACTAGAAATAGAAACACAAGCTTGTGTTTTTTTGGCTGTAGAAATCGGGGAAAGTAAAAAGAATGAGTTAAAGAGGACTTGGAAAGTAGCATTTGTCTTGAGGCATAATGCTTACTCTGTCACTGACCTTGTCCTTTTGATGACATCGGAGTCTGTAACATACAGTATTTGTGAGATGAAGTAGATGCTGGTATTGATGATCGAACAGTGGTTCCTCTGATATTCTGTGGCCTGCGCTTAGGTTAATTATTTGCACCAAAAGCTCTGCTTGTCCTTCCCTGTTGTCTCCTCCACCATGCCAACTTGAAAGCCACTTTTGCCACTACATCATCAAGCAATAAAAATAATGGAAACAGAATCAAATTGACAGCTTTGGAACCAGCACTTTGGTGGCATCCTTGGACCACCCATGTTGATCCTCCATTTCTATTTTCAGACTTGTCCTTTCCAACTTTGTGTTCCGAACCTTAAACTTACAGAAATGAAATAATTTAATTTTTTCCCAAAAGAATCTGCTTCTGATGAGTTGAAGGAAGGCCTACACTGTGTTGCACGTCACGGCCAATTTTATGACCATGAGATAGAAGAGTTTCCCAAGAGAGTTGATCTATGGTTCCAACCAAAGCCTCCACTAGTCCCTGCCCTGTTTTGTACCTATTCAACCTCCTGCACACAAGGCCAAAACGCGTCAAGAGTAAAAGACCAAGTGGAGAATATAAACGAACACAGAAGCGAGTTGGTAATTACTTTACCAGCCAATAGAGAAGTCTCCTCCTCCATTGATGTAGTAGTAGAATTTCTCCAAAAAAGCATTCCTCATTTCTTCATCACTAACATAAGTTGTGATGGTATCGACCAAGGCTACTGTTTTGGCCCATGCAATTCGCTCTGAAGACCTTTCGGGCTCAAATATGCTGGATGCTGCCACAAAATAAGCAATCAGAAGAGATCTTCTGTTCAATCCAAACTCTCCCAGTCTGCATTCTGAGTACCACCTGAAATTTACAAGTTTAAAACTCATGTCAGTATTTACTGTATAGAGTATGTGGAAAACGAGTAATAAAGCATGATCATAGTCGGGAAATGGTTTTAGCAGCTCCCCATACTGTTGAATATTCCTCCATTCTGTCTGATGCAGTTCTTGGCAGTTGTTGTAATCTAACTTTGCTAGCTCAAGATAATTGTTATTACTCACCTTCCCCATCCTGTGAAAAATAGCGAATAATTATGTTTATTCCATGAAAAAGTTGTAAAACTAAAGCCTCGTTATATATATATATATTTATATACATTGCATACCGATAAAGAGTTTTGCCAATCCAGACGTCAGTGTCACCACCATATTGATCAATATAAAACCTTGTCTCTATTCGAGGTAGGCTTGCATACCATGGCATGTCCAATGCATAAGCCACCTGTAGTGAGGAAAAGAATATATTAATTAGTAGAAAGTACATAAAGTGGTCCAATATTCTTTGGATATAATTATTAGCCCAACCTCTCCAGGTAAGTTCTTCATGATGATCCATTTGTCTATGAGCTCATTTGCTGCTCTTTTCTCACTCAGAAATTTGGCTGAGAACTTCTTTGCATCCTCCAGTATCTTCTCTCCTGGAAACCCTACTTGACTAGCCCTATACAAATTGAACATTCCTGTAACCGCTTGTGTTGACTGCCCAGCAATGCAGAAGAACTCACCATTTCTCTCAAAGTTCTTAAACACATCTGTCAAATGCAAAATCATTGGTTATATATTTAATAGCAAGAAAAGAAATTAAGGAAAATGATATTGAACTTACAAGCTGAAACTTCTCGGCCATGCAATCTTAGCATTCGGAATCCCATTGCCGTGTCATCAATATCCTGAACGTTTGAATTTCTAGCCCAACAAATGCCCTTATCAGTCCAATACCTGAAATTGAAGATATAAATGTCCATTGTTTTTGGCACTTAAAGATTGATATATCTCTCAAATTCATGATAATTGATAAAACTAAAAGTTCATCATCATTATCATCATCATATACCTATGAACATAGCTGACACAGTCCTCTACTTCTTGCTTAAAAAATCTGGATATTCCGAGGCGCTCCAGCCTATCAACGACCCAAATATGTTCGAACAAATCCACTGGGTACACGTTTGGAACTGAGAGGATAAAAACCAGTGTCATTTAGTTTAAAAAAAGTTTATGAAAAACGTCTCAGAAATCTGATTGAAGTGTGAAAATTCAAAACCAAGAGGGGAAGTTACTCTACCTCCGCCATTGAACTTAGTGATTACTTTATTCAAGTAGTTGAGGCAATTTTGATCATGAGTCTGCATAAGAGCGAAGGCAGTGGAGGAGGGAGAAAACAAGAAAGACCCATCTTTACACTGCAATTTTAGAAGCTGCTTCCAATCCAATCCTGACATGCCCTCCAAGCTATGAAGCAGTGTTGTGGGCACTTTATGCATCATCTCCCTTGGTATTCTATTCCACCAACCCCACCACGCACATAATTCAACAATTCAATAATCATACACACAGTGTGTCAATTAATTAAACAGCTTAAAAGGTGATTCTTTACTTTCTCTCAGAATAAAAGAAATTACAAGATAAGGTTGCTTTGATTCTAATAAATATAGATATGGGCTATCGCTCCTGTAATAATTACAGCCATGGAAACCTTTTTTGCTAGGGTTGTGCATATTATGAGTGACTGAGCCTTATCTTATATACCTGGTCAGCTTTACATTTCTCATTGCCAAGATTTGCTTCAGGACTGGAGAATCATCTGGCACTTCAATGTTCAGATCACGGGCTATATCCAGAAGTGACGGGAAAGCAACCTCAAAACCAATTGTTGTGTGCTCGGCATTCTCATCCTCGAGCTTGCCGATGTTTTCTCTGAAAAATGCCAGCCCTACACGTATACATATATATATTGATTGAAATGATTAACAAAACTAATTGTAAAGTGCATATGAAAAGAGACAGGTACATGATAAAGCATAAAAAGGAGCCAGCTAGCCTGTTTTAGAATTACCTTTCTCGCACTTTTCAGGATGTATATTCCATGTTTTTAGTGCAATAACACAAGCTAACGTATTTATGATTCTATCGTGAGCAGAGAAAACTTGATGATCACCCCATGAACCATCAGGAAGCTGGTTGTTCACTATCCATTCGAGACTGGAAGGGAATTGTGGGACACCACTTCCCTTAACATCTTGAACAAGAGCAACCCATGCTGTGTCGTAAGCAGATATGTTGATGTCACCATCATCCATGGAACCCAATATCCATCTGATAGCCTTCACTCGCTTTTTGATCTCATTGCTCACCGAAACCTATTCACAGCAAAAGGGTATATATAATTATATATCAAAACAAAAAGAGAAAAAGGCCAAAACAGAGAAAGGCCTGTGATTATAATTTAATTAAAGTAGATTTTTGTTAATCAATAAAAAAAAAGCACCTTATCAGCTTCCTCCTCTTGGATGTCATCCTGGACAACCTCATGCCACTTGAACGTCGGAAGACCACCCTGAAACATGTCAGCGCATTCTGCACAGCTCAAAGCACTTAAAGTTTGTTTTGAATTGTTTATCAGAAATTCATAGGAACGACAAAAACATGAAGAGGATCGAAACTGGCATGCCTTGGGTCCGTGCAGGTCTGAATATAGCCCTGCATCTTAGGCGAAAACCAAGGGGCACTTGTTTGTGTTTGGCTTCAGATGGCCCCACACCTGTATATATATAAAATGAACAATCATATATATGAATCAAGCAGAGTCTTGAATACTTTTCCTGGTTGGAAGGTGAGTACAGTGCCATATTGCTTTCAGCTTTCAACTGGGGGATAAAAGAAAATCTCCACAAAAAAAGAATTCACCGTTTGGATAATAAACAGACAAAGTGAGATTGGAATAAAAAATGAATATACGAACGATGACGATTTTGTCTGATTATTTGGTTTTTAAATATACGAATGCGCCACATTATAAAACAAGGCAGCGCAAGTGTGAGTGGGCTGGTTGAGGTTGGAGCTATCTATATACGGAGCGGGAGGATGCATACATATGAAGAGAGAAGAAAGTAATAAAGAAGAAGAAGAAGAAGATATAGAGACATATACAAGTTATATATACTTACCGAGAAGGAGGGTGGATTTGGAGGAGGAGGAAGGAAAAGAGAGGGGGGGGAGAGAGAAGAGGGAAGAGGAGGAAGACATGATGGGGAGTGAGGGAGGGAGTGAAATGGGAAGGGCATATAAAAAGGGAAGAAAATGGTGGGGGAGAAGAGAAGAGGATGAGAAGGAAGCAGACAGAAACGACTCCTCAAGAGATTCGCGCTAATGGGTGCATGGGATCATCCTAGGGCACTCCGGTCCTTTTCCCCCCACCTCTTCCCTCTTTTCATTTTATTCATTCTCCAGAATTCATTTATCCTAATTATTCTTCTTCAAAACTTTATAATTTTATTTTATCTTTAAATAACTGTGCGATCTTTCATATAATTATCCTCAGTTCATACAAACTTCAACATGAGATTTTGTTTAAGAAGTTGCTCTTCAATTCTTTCTATAAGATTTAAATAATGTTTAAGAAATCTGTTAACAATATTAAAATAAATACTCATATATTTTGTCTGCCCACGGTAAATACTCATATAAGAAATATACTTTTCCAAATACGTCTCTATTGGTAGGAAGGTAAGTGTGAGAGAGTGAGTGAGAGATAATAATAAAAAAAATGGATCTTACTGTGATGAGTATAAGCCCAAAGGGAGAACCCAATTTCAAAAGACTAGCCTATTAGAAGGAAGAACCTATTGAATTTATAAACCCCACAACACTTGTAAAATTCTCTAATGGGGGACTCATAACAGAGCACCCCCCTCGAGCGTTGTCGGACTCTACAGCACTGCATTCGGTCTTCTTACTAATCAGAAGACTCACCAGGTACTCTTTCTAGTTCGTCGACTCTTAATGAAAGCATCAATGTGATGAGTATAAGCCCAAGGGGAGAGCTCAATCCCAAAAGACTAGCCTATTAGGAGGGAGAGCCCATTGAACTTATCAACCCCACAACACTTATGAGATTCCCTAATGTGGGACTCATAACACTTGCTTAGCTAATTTTTTCATATTTATCATGTTAAATTATTATATGAATAGGACACATGATCATGCGTAATTAGAAAACTTGACACTAGCAAAAAAATTGGAGAACTTAATATAATGTATATAATGAATTTGATCTGAGTATTTTTTAAAAATATATATATATGAAAAAAATATTGCAATTAGTTCGTACCCAAAAAAATATTGCAATATTAATTAGAGGTAATCAAGTTTATTTAATATTCAGATTACCTAAAACTGTATTTTATAAAAAGGATCGGGTTAATTAACAATTTAGACCTTATAAAGATAACCAGACTATATAATCATTTTGGCGAGACCAACAGTGGTTGGTAGCGATTATTTGCTTTAATATTTTACTGAATATATGTTTATTACTACCTCCGGTCCTAATTATAAGACCCAGTTGACTAATTTGAGGAGATTAAGGAAGTAAGTTAAGTTAGTTATTTGTAATAAATAAGTATTGTCATTCCTAAAATATCCTTACTAATTAAATGTATTGGTTAAAACTATCGTTATTAGAAGGACTATTTTGAAAAAAATTACATAAATATGAGAGACAAAATGGATTGGGGTCTTATAATTAGAACCAAACAAAAAGTCAAACGGGATCTTATATTAAGGACCGAAGGTAGTATTTATTATTTACTATATGCATTGATATCTTTTTTTGTATCGCTGGAAGGATTACTTGAAGCATCTGTTATTAATAATTTTTGAAATCACAAAAATTGACTTTTTTTTTGCCAACATATAAATTGAAATTATTCACACATAATCATCCCTTTTTGATTATGTGTCGACCACTCAAAAATGCTTCGTGTTGCTTGCCATTTGTGAATTGATACGTGTGGGGGTCATGAAGACGATTTTAAACTACTCGCTGGTCCATTATTTTTTGCCGCGGAAAGTCCTGTCAAACAGAATTTATTTAAAAAAAAAAATCATACTCTTAAATAAAGGGAAAATGACAGATAAAAACTCTTGAATTATTAAAATTACAAAGAAGTCACATGAATAAGCGAAATTGTCACGAGAGACCCGGTCCTATATTGCAAATATGAAATTTTAGTGAAATATCTGAAATACCTCTCAGTTAAGTTATAATTTGGTCTACTGAAATTGTCATTCGTTAAAGTGAACTTGTTATTTCTCATAGTTAACTTATCATTTAGTATACCCTCATCAGTCAAGTTGTGATTTAGTCTAATGAAATTATTATTTGTTAAAGTGAACTTGTCATTTCCTATGATCAACTTGTCATTTGGCTGAGGGGCATTTCAGACATTTCACTAAGATTTCGTATTTGCAATATGAGACTAGGTTTTTATTTGTCATTTTTCAAATTGAAGGTCCCAAATCGTAATTTCATATATTGGGAGGTTTTTATTTATCATTTTTCCTTAAATAAATCTCATCATAGTTTTTCTTTACATGTTTTATCAAATTCTTTTTTCACATTTTAGAAGAGTTTAAATTAAATCTAAAAAAACTTTGAAATTATTATTTATCATATATATCGCGGTGAAAGAACATTTGTTACGGAAAAAAATACTTAAAAATTGTTTGTTTTTTAACATGTCTTTGCTTTTCGATTATTTTAGTTCCATTTATTGATTTCTTTGATAAATTAAATATAGGAATTTAGGTAAATAAAGAATTTATATTCTCTTTCATTTTAAAATCTACATATAAAATTTTCTTAAAAAATTAACAAAACCAATGTGTAAAAAATTATAAATTGTTTAACTTACTTTTTAATATATTTTAATTAATATTTTAGCTTAAAGGATTAATTATATCTTTTTTTTTATTTGATTAAGGATATCCCTTTTGAGGCTTCAGAGAGCAAAAGATTTTCGAGTGCAAAGTTAAAGATGTCTATTTGTAAATAATGCTAAGGATATCATATGATATTTATTCACTTGCAAAGTTTAAAAAAAGTCATTGTCATCAAACTTTAAAAAAAATCCATGGGATGTTTCTTTTTTCAGTTGGAGGTGTTTTTGAAAAATAATTTCATCAATCTGTGAAAAATGCATGTAGTCTAATTGGTTTGGATTTTTTTATCTTAGTATATTTTTTAAAAAATATTTTCACTGACAATTCGGTGAATACATTTTCTTTGGGACATTTTTTTATTGGAGGTATTTTTGAATAGTAAATTTCATCAATCTCTGAGAATTTTATGAAGTCTAATTGACTTTGATTTTTTTATTTTAGTACGCTTTTTGTAAAAAAAATTTCTCTTACAACTTAACGAAGAGAAAAAGATTTCTCTAAATTTTTTAAAACAAATGAATACACTCTTTTTTATCCTTAACTGCAATTTTTCCTTCCATTAAGGAATATTTGGTCAAAAAAATTAAAACAAGAAATAAGGAGAACAAGCAACCTCTTTTGGGTTCACTTAACGACATGATTCCAAAACGGAATAAATTAAATACGAGCTATGACCCTTAATATAAGATATTATTTGATTTTTGTTTTGGTTCTAAATATAAGACCCAATCTATTTTGTCTCTCATATTTATGTATTTTTTTCAAAGTGATCCTTCTAATAATGATAGTTTTAACCAATATAGTTGATTAGCAAGGATATTTTAGGAAAGACAACACCTATTTATTTCAAATAACTAATTTAACTTATTTTTTTAATTTTCTCAAATTAATCAACTAGCTTTTATAATTAAAATCGAAGCTAGTATTGCAAAAAGTTTGTTACGAGGAGAAGAATAGAAATTTTCAAAAGAACACTAAAAAGTGTTGGTCTTCCCAATTTTGTAACTTTTGGTTTATTCAGGGTGAGAAATTTCGGATACAAAATATTTCGTTAAGACATTATTTTATTGATATGCTTCCCCTCTTCATGCTCGAATTTAAATTTAATTCTTAAATTAGAGTACACTTTTTTTTAATTCTAGATTATATACAAATAACTCTGCAACCCTTAAAATCTAACAATAAATGTTTATGAATGATCCAATATATATTAATTATGAACAATCTTTATTTAATAGGAAATGAATCATATAATTTATAACCCATGAAATATGCAAGCTGCCATGAGCTGCTTACTCTTTATTGAAATTATTAATTGATTGATTCAAATAAACATTGCTCTTTTTTTTTTTTTTGACCGGAAATAAACATTGCTCTTTGACGT